CAACCAAAGGCTAGAAAGCTCAGGCTTACAGGCTATGAGCCTGGCTCAAAGCGATGAGTGATGGGAGCAAGAGAATAGTGATTTCCAGGTCTGCTAGCTTTGCAGAGCGAATTTGGAACAGAATTGATGCCAATTTTTGGAATGATCCACTTAGTGATGGTGATCCACTTAGTGACAGCAACTCACTTAGTGATGGTGTCAGCATTCAGGGAGGAGAAAGTGAAAAAGCACAAATAAAGGAGTCGGAAGATGACTCAAGTATGGTGCAAGAGTGTGCTAACAGAGAAGAGCAATCAATGCCACGCAGGTCAGAGCGATGGAACAAGGGGATTCCACCTGGCAGGTATTCTGCTAGTAAAGTAAAGGTGTGTAATGTAAGGAAGTACTGGCATTACCTAAATTTGAACAAGGAAAATGAAAAGAATCCATGGACACGGAAAAGAAATCCATGGGTGAACATAGAGTGTTCACATCTATGACTTTGCCACAGGGTTGCAAAGCCATAGGATGCAAATGGGTGTACAAAAGGAAGATACTACCCAACAATGAGGTCCAGACCAGACATAGCTTGTGCAATAAACATTCTAAGTCACTTTACTGCTGCACCAACCCAATTGCGTTGGACAGGTATAAAAAGGAATTCTTAGGTATTTGAAGGGAACTGTGAATTTGGGTCTTCAATACAGGTCTGGGAAGGATTTGACCGGAAGCGTTGCGGCGAGATAGTAGGGGATTAGCGGGCTCCGACAAGCCCTGCGAAATCCCGGGCTGACGAACCGCTGCAGAGAGGTCTTTGGACCAGATCTGTCCTGTAGGGACAGGGAAGAAGGAGAGGCACCTCAGAAGATCAAGAGGAACAGGCAAGTTCCTCGAAGGTCAGAGGAAACTCTCCCTGACTCTGCAGCGGGGGGGTGGCGGCCATTACGACTGCCAGTAAACTGGGGCAACTCGACCAAGCATTGTGCAGGAGCGGAGAACTGAGTGGAACATTGATGTCAGGTGAGTGACATCTAACTGATAGGCAGAAAGGGAAAAAAAGAGGACTTTCAAAATAATTGTAAATATCCTGGCAATATAACAGTGGCTAATAGGGGTGGGGAAAGGATGGAAGAAGAAGACTAAGTTATAAAGTGACAAAACCTGATCAGAAAATTGTTTTTTGGACTTAATTATTTGGAGAACTTTAAAAAATTAGAAGAATTAAGAACCCGAAAAGATCCTTCTTTAATTTGGGAATTTTAAAGGGAGGAAGATTAAAGAATGAAGAAAAACCTGCTAAAGATTTTAAATTGAAACTGAATTGGAATCTAACATGGAATTTGGACTATACAAATCTGGACTGAACTTTAAATTGATTTGGTGCATATAAAGGTGGAAAAGAAGAAGAGGAAAAATTAAATAAGTAAAGACTGTTAAAGCAGATTGCAAACAAAATGGATGCTTTTCTAGATTGTTGATTGCAATTGTGGATTGTAGAGAGCCATCTTCAGGAGAAAAAAATGCTACAACACTGAATCTTTGTTTTGGGGAAAAAAACTTGGACTTGTGAATTGTGAGAATGTGAGAATTTTTAAGGAGGCTTTGTTTGCTCACAAGTGCTTTGAGGATAAAAAAAAGAGGATTACAACATAACTTCAATTGGAATAATATCAACCTAGAAAGAACAAAATGGTGCAGGAACTTAAGAAAATAATGAAAATGATGTACTTATAATTGAAAATGGAAATAAGGGAAATGACCACAATACTGCCTGGAAAGTTGAAACTTGATGATCGAAAAATTGACTTAAGACATATTCAAGCTAACAAAGAAATAACTAATGAGAAGCAAGAAAAAGAGACTGACAATAAAGAAGACAAAGACAAGGAGATTACTCATGGAAAACTAAATGATTATGTGGGTAGTAATAATAAAAAGGAGAACTTTAAAAATTACATTGGGATTAACAATGGAAAAAATAGAAAAAGGGGAAAGAAAGAAAGAAGGAAAAGAGGTTGGATTAGAAAGAATATAAAAAACTTAAATGATTACACTGGGATTATCAGTGGGAAAATAAGAAAAATGGAAAAGGTATGGAAAATAATGGGAAAGACACAGCAAAATAGAAGAGTTTATGATTTTAAAAAACAATGATTATACTGGGATTAACAGTGGAAAGATAAGAAAAAGGGAAAAGAGAATTCAGGATTTTATAGTACAAAAGAAAAGGAGAAATAAAAATAAAATAAAATAGAAAGATAGAAAGGGAGAAAGAAAGGGAAGAGGAATATGGGGTAAATGAAATGAATACTAGAGAAAAGATGAAGTTGTGCTATTAACGAAGTAATTTTAAACTATATGGATGTATGATGAATGTAACAATTGGAATACTTTGAACTAATGAAGGGGATTGTAATAACTGAAATATTCTTAATTACATATTTGGAATTTAACTAAAAAAGAAAAGAAAGCTGAAATGATATTGGATTATGAATTAATTAGATATATTTAATTGGTTTTTATAAATATGTTGACAAGAGAATTTAAGGAAATAATTGGGAATTGTATTATGTTGTATGAATTTAAATTTAAGGGTACTGGATTAAGATTGATACTCAATTGATTTTTTATTGAATATTCTTAATTAATGAAATTATGATAAATGGATTATTTTTAAAATAAGAGATAAGAATATAAATAATTGATGAAGTAATAGAATGATAATAATGAATTATTTAAGTCAATATGAAGAAATGACAAAATGTAGGGATGTTTAAGAATTGAAATAAGACACAGAAACAAGAAGTTTAATATATGAAATTGTAGTAGTTGGAATATCTGGGTTAAGATACATACTTAATTGGTTTCTACTAATATGTTGAATTGTATTATTTGGAATAGATGATAAAAGAATCATTTGGGATTAGAATAAGAGAATTTAAGGAAATAATTGTGGATTGTACTATATTGTGTGAATTTAAATTTAGAATATATGCTATGATAAAAATTGAACATATAAAATTGTGTTAAAGATGAACAAAAATCTGTACAAATTTAAGACCGGGCCAATGTTCTGTTCAGAAAAGATGTATTGTATGTTTGTTTGTGTTTAAAAATAAAAAAAACTTTACAAAAAAAATTCAGGTCTGGGAAGAATATTAAGATACTCAATTTTATTTCTATTCCAGTTATGAAGGGAGGAGTGTCAGAGTATATTCATGAACTGGAATAGGGCATAGCAACAGGTCAGCCAATGAGGGCTGTTTGGTAACTGAAACACAGTATTTGTTGTATGGGGCCATAAGAGACAGTTTGGAACCTGTCTCTTATGGAAGCTATTAAAACTGGTAGCCTCATGCACTGGAAGTGAGCCAGTGCAGGAAGGTCAACCCAGTCAGAGGGTCCAACCATCTCCACCCAGAATGCATAGTCCTAGCGGTTCTTAGGATCCCAATTATTTATGCCCATATACTTCATCCCCTTTAGTCTTCCTCATTTGTTATTATTTTAACAGTGGCAGAAAGTGATGCCAACAGAAAACTAAATATTTTATTTATTTAGCATATTTATATATCTACCCATCTTGCAAGGAAGTGACTCTGGGAGGGTATAACTACTACTTTTATAAAAGACTGGAAACGCTTTATAAACGTTTTGCTGAAAATGATAAAAATGACCTGGATTTCTGGATTTACCAATTAATAAGGTTGAATATGGGGAGAAATTACAGCGTTATGTAATTCAGAAGGGAAGAAACTGTTTCAAGAAGGCCTATAACCGCTGTGAAAAATATCGGAAGTAGCTTATTTCTTTCTTTTCACTTTCTATTGTTTTCAACACTTACTCATTTATATTTATATTTTTTTCTATATTATTTTCTATTTATCTTTTAACCTTGTAAAAAACTTCTTTAATAAAAATTACAAAGATGTGACCCTGGTAGTATACAAACATAGCAACAGTTAAAAACTACACAGCAGTCTAAAAGAGTCAAACATAAATAAACACATTAAAAACCCGAGATTGAAGGAAAACTAGTCACCACCTCATAAAGCCGCCTCCTAGCCTCCCCATGGGATCCAGATGGCTGATGAAAGAAAACTTTAACGTCTTTCTGGAAGACTAACTGAGATGGGACTAAACTCACCTTGGGGAGAGGGGGCAATGAAGGGGGAAAGAGCCACAGCAGAAAAACATGCCCCCTGGATCCCCCCAGATGGAGCTCCTTTGGGGATGGGACCCACAGCATATCCCACTGACTTGACCTGGTGGTAGAAAGTTGCAGTCACCAGGGAGGCTGTTCCTCAATCTGGTCCCATTCCATACAGAGCTTTAAAGATGAAAACCATCACCTTGAATGGGACCCAGGAACAACCTGGCAACCAATGTAGCTCACAGAACAGAGCTGTAACATGCACCCTCCAAGGGGTCACACATAACTGCCACATTCTGTATCAGCTGACACTTCTGGGCACTCTTCAAGGGAGCCCAAGTACGGCATGTCACAGTTGTCCATTCTGGAGGTGACCAGAGCAGGAGTGACTGTGAGGAACCTCACAGTCCAGGAAGGGAGGCAACTGGCACACCACATAACACTGTTGAGAGGCCCCTCTAGCCACAACTGTCACCTACATCTCAGGCAGGAATTGTGAGTCTAGCAAGACCTCCAGATGATGCTCTGCTTCTGTCTAGCAAGGTGAATCCAGCAGTCAGCACCACATTATCATTATCTGAATCCCTCCCTCTGCCCATTTTCTGCAGCAAACTTTGTTGATATTCATAAGTGCTTCACATTTGTGAAAAATGATATCTTGCATGAGCTCACTACATCCTTGGTTATGTTCTACTCTGCTTCCTTTGGAATGGAAGAGCATGTAGAACTTTTTCTAACCCATTCAGATGGCCATCACATCTGCACATTGCTACGTATCTTCAGGACCAGACCATGCCCAGCAGCCCCCGACTGAGATCCAGAATCCCTTTGTCTCGCCTTTCACATGCTCTCAGGGACTCCCACCAACCTGCCCACATGAACAAGACGACCACGATAATCAGGATTTCACCGGCTCGCAGCTGTTGATTTTTGTCTCCCATTTCCTTCATTGTTACTTCATCTGCATAGAGAGGAAGAAAGCAGAGCAACGGGGAGAAGGTCATCTACCCACAGTGATTTTGTCTTGATTGATTATGTGGTGTTGGTACATTAAGCCAGGAGTCTACAACATTACTACAGAATAGTGGTTTGGCTGCCTAAGATTGTTAGTTTGTTCAGCTTCCACTTGCACGTTATCAAGAGTGCACCTAGGGAGTGCCCCTAGTTCTGCACACAGAGCAGCTAAGAGGGTTCTGTGGGAGCATCAGTGTCTTCCAGGGCTTTTTTCTCCATCAATTTTCACCTTGCATCTGGGCAAGTTTTTTGCTTCTGCCATTAGTCTCACTGAAATGGTACCTATTTATCTACTTATATTTGCATGAGGTGGACAGGAGCTGAGGCAAGTGACAGGAGCTCACCCCACTTCATAGGGTTTAAAGTGCTGGAGAGCCGACCTTCTCTGGCCAACAAATCCAGCATCTTTAAGCCACTGAACCTCCATGCCTCTCATCTCCTCTAAACAAGGGGTAAGCCAAGGGCTGTTGAGAAAATAAATGTAGGCCACAAAACCTCCTAGGGTAGCTACAGGAAGTTTGTGGATGCAGCCTAGCCAGGGAGAGAGGGAGCCCCTTCAGAGATGTTCACTCCATCTCTGAGCTTGATGCTTGATGTTCTCCTGGAATCCCAGGAGTTCCCAACCTTGGCAATTTTAAGATGCGTGGATGTCAATTCCTAGAATTCTCCAGTCATATTAACCATTCAGATCATGCAGAAAACTACAATGTCCATAATTATTTACTTGGCAGGGAATTATGAGGGCTACATGTGGACAGCTGTGGTGAAATGTAGTCTGGATTGCCAACAGGAAGGGACTGCATTCCAGAAGCCCAGTGAATTTTAGATAGTTTGGTTGGGAAAAAGAGGGTCACGATAATACCTCCCTAGAAAATATCAAGAGTACACTTAATTAACAATGCAAGTAGTTGCATCGTCACCTAATCTATAAGTGAGAATAAAGGAAACTGCTTGGAAATAATCTTATGTGTCTTTCTTGGGGCCCAACATCAATTTTGCCAAACTAAAGCATATAAGATATTCTCTGAGGATCGCTGGGGAGGCACCATCTTGGCTCTCTTTCTCCTAACCAACCCACTTTGCTGTCAGTTCCTCCTGTGGAATGCAGCCCCTCCCTGCTGGGAATCCAGATTACTTTCCACAACAAAAGCGTCCAGGTGGGGAAGGGAAATTCCCCTTGAAGGGCCATACGATATAACTGTTGCTGAGAAGTTATGTAGAAGGGCAGATGGAGCTTGGACTGTCTTCTACTCTTTTATTACATGTTAAACATTTTACAATTCAAACATGAAGATTCCCCCCACCCAACAATATGTTGCACACAAAGGATCTTTATAGATACTCTACTCTGGACATCACAACTACAATAGAAGGATCATGTTGTAGAGGGCTTGAAAACCACACTTCTATTCAGCAACAGGGCAATTCCTGGCCCAAAGCATCAGGAAGAACTGTGAACTTCTAGGAAATGGTAACATGTGTGCATCTGGGCAAATGAGGAATAAAAGCCATTGCAAATGGTATAGTTCAGCTGCAAAATATTTGAAACCAGCTTTCTTCTGTATCTAAAAATGTATATATTTTATGCCTTCGAGTCAGACTCCTGACAGTTCTCCTGGCCAGATTTCAGACATAGTTTGTGCCCCCAGCTTCCTAGGGCTGAGAAAGAGGGACTTTCTGATCAACTGACTTCCTGACTCAGGCAGGTCTAGAGCTTACAGTCTCCTGGTTCCTGGCTTGCGGCCTTTCACCAACCTTAGGTAGGGTTTTAAAATATGGTTTTGGAAATTCTGGGCTTGACAGTCCTTATCTTTTCTGCAAGGTAGCCAAAGGAGACTTTTGCAGTTTGCTCTGGGGGTCCTGAGAACAGGCCCCTGAGCTGCCCATTTCTTCACCTGCCCATGACTTATTCCTCCTCTTTTCTCTCTTGGTAGATGAGTCCACAGATGGAGACAGAGGAGGGGGAATTTTAGCAGCAGCAGCAGCAGCAGCAGCAAGTTTCCCATATCACATTTGTCCCGATGCTTGACCCAAGGTCCCCCTTGGGCATTCCTGATGCTCCCCTCTCCCAGGCCCTCTGACCCATCTCCCTCCTCCCCTGCCCTCCCAACCACCATGTCCCTCTTAGCAGGTTGGCAGGGTGGCAGCTGTGCCGCAGGCCATCCCGGGGCTGCTGAGCCCCTGAGCGAAATGCAGCAAGCCGTTTTCTGATCTGGAACAGGTGCTTGATGAAGGCAGGTAACCCCAGCAGCCCCTAGCAAGCAATCTCTGTCAGACTGACAGCTTTAGAGAGCTGATGGCCAGGCATTTGCCAGACAGGGTTCATTTTTGGTGGTTAATTATGACTGCTTCTTGCTTCCAGCTGAACTGAAATGAGATTTCTGTTTGTCTTTCCTGTGCCAGCAGAATGTAAAGGTACCTGAAAAAAATGCTTTCCTTTTCCTGAAGGAGGTGGCAATTCATTTGTCCGCCTACAGCCTTCTCCACTGAAAGTTGGGGGCAGAATCTGAGACTTCCCCCAATCTCTCCCAAAGTAGGGCTTAAATTCTATTTCAAATGTGATAAAGAATACAATTATGAAATGTAGTGGATTTATTTGATTTAGCTGGGTTAAATTATTGGGTTTACTACACTGAACTATAGATAAATGGAAGTGCAAATTGAACTATTATTGCTGTTGTATTTTTATCTCTTCCTCACATATATATAAAGTTAAAGTGAAAATATCTAATACTCCTTCCTTCTCCTATGATCTCAACAACAACCCTGTGAGGTGGGTTACGCTGAGAGAGGCCCAAAGTCACTCAGCCGGCTTTTATGCCTGAGGGGGGAGTGGAATTTGCAGTCACCCAGTTTCTAGTCTTCTGCCTTAACTGCTAAAATTAAGCTAATTTAAATTAAAAATTATTTTCTACCCTTGTTTTGCCAGTCTTGGGGACAGCTGTGCCAGCCCTCAAAGGCCGAGGTTGCCCCTGGTTTCCAAAACATTTTACAGGTCTGGCCTAACGGGGCAGCTGAGGCTCATCCTGGCTTCCTCTTGGTTGGTCATGACTTTGCCAATCCTGCCCTGCCACAGCCACCCTTCTGCTTGCCTTTGTTCTTTGAAGCCAATTTCTCTGCCTCTCGTGGGGTCTTGAAGTGGACTGGCTCACTGGCTGGACTCTGGCCTTGGATGCTGATGGACTGGACGTGCACGATGTACTCGGTGTCCTCCTCCAGGTCCCAGAGGGAGCACGAGCGGGTGGTGGTGTTCACTTCCTGGATGAAACGCAGCATCCGTACGTCCTTCTTCTGCAGAGAGAAGGATGACAAGCAGGTTGTGCAAAGGGTGGAAAAGATTTCCAACCGATGACTGGTTGCCTCTCCCAATCCCATGTAAGGAGCCAGAGAGAAGAAGATGACTTTCCTCTCTTGCCTCCCCCAGCGCAGGGATTCTCAACCTTTAAGACTTGTGGACTTCAATTCCCAGAATTCCCCAGCCAGCTCTGGGAATTGCCCTAGAAGTAGCCCCCAAAATCTATCCCCAGGCCCCGACTTGATGAGAGAAAGCCTGAAACAAATCCTTAGTGCTCTCTGCAGTTGGTTATTTTCTTGCAGACATTTCATTACCAACTAGGTAAAATCATCAGTCGTCTATAGATGTTACCTACCTGGGTAATGAAACATCTGCAAGAAAGCAACCAAGGTCAGAGAGCACCAAGGATCTCCCAGATATCCGTGCATTGCTCTTCAGGCCCAAGAAGAACTGCCTCAACATAATTCTGTTCAAGATGTCAGGTAAAAAATGAGAAATCTGGCTTTCCTTTTTCTTTCTAAAAAACTTTATTAAATTTCTAAAGTATAAAATACAAAAAAAGAAAAGAAAGTAGAATTAGAAAGAAAGATGGAAGGGTAAGGAAAAAGCAAAATTTAGGAGTACAGAGAAAAAGAAAAAAATAACTTCCAACTTCCTTTGATACAGATAAAAACCTAAAAATCAGTGTTTGAACTAGCATGAGCCGTAACAAACAGGACTTCTATCATCAGAAATCTGTGATTTCTTGACACATCCTCCTTTACCATTGTCTTGTGGGGACTGCTGAAGACAGTTAAGGTGAATTCTGAATTCATCCCAAGAACCCAAGAACGAAGAGGAAATTCGGGAGCAGCCCGGCCGAAAGCTTACCTGTTGCGAAATAGCAAACCCGATGACCACTTCTTCTTCCAAAACATCCCAGGTCACCACAGCTGAGTTGGCCTTCAGGAGCTTCACTGTGACGTTGACAGGAGCGGAGGGGCTGTCTGCAAGGAGGCAGGGTGAGGCTAGGGTACAGGTAGCCCTCGACATACATTGATTCTTTTAGCAACCATTCCGAGTTATAGTCGCACGCAAAATGTTACTAGGGCTGCTCCTTCCACCTGCAGCCTTTGCAGCTTTCCCACAGCCACGTGAGCAAGATTGGGCTCTTGGCAACCGGCATGAATGTCTGACAGCTGCAGAGTCCCCAGGTCACCATTTTGCAACCATCCCAGCTGGCTTCTGACAAGCAAGTCAGTGGGGGAAGCCAGATCCACTTAGTGACCATGAAATTCACTTAACATCTGCAGTGATATGCTTAACAACTGTGGCAAAATAGGTTTGCAACTATTTTGTGTTGCAAAATGTGTTGCAGCTCACTTAACAACTGCTTTGCTTAGCAACAGAAATGCTAGTCCTAACTGTGGTTGTAAATTGAGAATTACCTGTTATGGTCAGTGGAGAAGCAATTCGCCCATTGATGCTATTTATTTATTTTTTTGCTGCTGCTGCTGTGTAGAAAGCCAGGATGATCACTCACTAAGATGGCTTAAGGAAAAGCCATTTGCGATTTGGAAGCTAATATCTTCCTTGGTACTTAGAGTAAGCCAGGGCATCCCCAGCTCCAGCTAATCTGTGGCTTCTACCACGTTGCCTCTCACCTTTGCCAACCAAAAGCTCTTCCTGGTGGCTGAATCCATAAGCACAGACCTCAGAACAGGACCCATCATGCTTGCAAGCAGCCTTGGATAGAAACTAATCAAGGAGAGAAGCGACCTAGAACTAAGAAGAAATGTCCTGCCAGAATAATAAGCCAGTGGAACAGCTTGCCTTCAGAACTTGTGGATGCTCCATCACGGGAGGTTTTCAAGGAGAGATTGGACAGCCATTTGTCCAGAACAGGGGCGGTTTCAAAACCCGTTGCTACTAGTTCGCTCATGGGCGTGTGTGCACTTGTGTGCAATGCTCCGGGCGGATGGGCGGAGCCTCCCGCCACTGCCGCTACTGGTCCGCCCGATCCGGGGCGAACCTGAACAACCCACCACTGGTCCAGAATGTTATAAAGTCCCCTGTCATATGCAGGGGTTGGACTAGAAGGCCTCCACAGTTCCTTCCAATTCTGTTATTCTATATTCTGTATTCTATTCTGTAACTTAAGACAAATGGCCAGATGGCCACCTTTCGTCCTCGTGCAAAATAATAATTTATTTAATTTCCGAATATGTTATGGTTGCAGACATGAACCCTGATTTTTCTGAAGGAGCTCATGCATTGTTTCAACCACCTCCTTACGAGAGTCCTTAAGGCCAGATTCTCTCAGCCTCAATGTTGGTTAGTGAAATTTATTTATTTATTTAGGGTTTACTTGAGCATGGTGACTCAAGGTGGCTTACAGGACATAAAAGCACAATATAAAAGAACTAAAAATAAAAATAATAAAAAATAAAAATAATAAAATAATAAAATAATAACCCCCATCCCCACCCTGGCGACAACACACATTCATTCCAGCCATTTAATGGGCTCCATCCCGCTTTGGGTTCCCCAGGCCCGTTGGCAGAACCAGGTCTTCAGGGCCTTCCAAAAGAATGTCAGAGTGGGGGCCAGTCTAATTTCCGGAGGAATGATGCTCCAGAGGGAGGGAGCCACCACAGAGAAGGCCCTTCTTATGGGTCCTGCTAGATGTATCTCCTTAGGGGACAGGACCCACAACATTCCTTGCCTCCCTGCTTTAATGGGTCGGATAGATGTGACTGGCAAGAGGTGGTCCCTCAGATAACCTGGTCCCGAGCTATGAAGGGTTTTAAAGGTGACAACCAGCACCTTGAATTCCACTCAGAAGAAAACCAGCAACCAATGCAACTCCCGCAGGAAAGGTAATACATGCGCACACCGAGGTCTGCACAAAACCATGCAGGCTGCTACATTTTGCATCAAATGGAGCTTCCAGATGCTTTTCAGGGGCTGCCCCATGTAGACCACATTACAATAGTCAAGAGGGGAGGTGACTAGGGCATGAGTGACTGTGAGTAGGAATTGCTGGTCCAGGAAAGAGCATAACTGGCTTACAACCCGCAGTTGCACAAAGGCCCTCCTGGCCATGACTGCCACTTGCTCTTTGAGCAGGAGTTGTGCATCCAGGAGAACCCCCAAATTACGCACAGGGTCTGTTTGGGGAAGTACCACCCTATCCAAGACCAAAGGTGGCAATTCTCCATGGGCCAAAGAACCCCACACCCAGAGCCACTCGGTCTTGCCAGGGTTCAGTTTCAACCCATTGCTCCCCATCCAGCCCCTAACAGCCTCCAGGCACTGTGAAAGGGAGGACACAGCATCACTTAACTCATCAGCCCTCAGATATACAGCTGAGTATCGTCAGCATATTGATGATATCTCAGTCCATGGTGATGGATGGTCTCACCCAACGACTTCATGTAGATGTTGAATAGGAGCGCAGAGAGCACAGAGCCCTGCAGGACCCCACAAAGCAGGCTGGATCTCTTGCCTCCTATCAACACCGACTGAGTGGCCACATAGGAAGGAAATGAACCAGTATAGCCCCCCACTCCCAACCCCCAAAGCCGCTCCAGGAGGATACCATGGTTAATGGTATCGAAAGCCACCAAGAGGTCAAGTAGAGCAAGGATGGATGCACTACCCCATCCCACAACCAATGCTGTTTCTGTCCCATATCCAGGCCTGGAAGGGGAATCCTGACTGGAAGGGGTCTAGATAATCCGTTTCATCCAGAAACCTTGGAGCTGCCGTACCGAACCACCTTCTCAACCACCTTCCCCCAAAAGGGAAGATTGGAGACAATTATCCAACAGGCTGGAATCCAGTGATGGCCCTTAGGGAAGCATTAATCACTGCTGGAGTCCACCCACATGTCACTTCCCGGGAAGCTTTCACAAGCCAGGAGGGACATGTGTCTAAAACACAGGTGCTTGCATGCATATTCCCTAATATCCTGTCCACTTTCTCAGGAATGTCATTGTTGTGCTACACCCTGAGTGTGTACAGAGTGTATAGTGCTACACCCTGAGAGCACTTAGTGCATGTCAGAGAAGAGCCTACCTTCTGCTGAACCTCTAATCTCAAGGCAAAACAAGGGGAGGGAGGAAGAAAGCCTTCAGAGCAGCTTCGTCCTAAAAGGGCATCACCAGTCCCCATTCTCATTTGTGCCAACATTTGTAATTGAGCTCAGTCAGAAAACCAGCTGTGAATCTAAATTTGATTTTTGTCCCTGGCTTGTTCTCTATTGTCTCTGAGAACCAGATCTGGCCTCATGGATTTAAGTAACAGGAAGAAAGTCAGATTCATAAAGGATATGGATGAGGGAATAAAAGACAAATTCATCAGATTTGCAGATGACACCAAGCTGGCAGGAATAGCCAACATCCCAAAAGATAGGCTAAAGATAGAAAAGAATCTTGACAGAGAAGAACAACAAAAATGATTAAGAGGACTGGAGGCTAAAACATATGAAGAACGGTTGCAGGAATTGGCTATGTCTAAGTCTAGTAAAAAGAAGGATTAGGGGTAAAATGATAGCCCTCCAATATTTTTATTTATTTATTTATTTGTCAAGCATATATAAGATAACAGGTAAAAGTATAAACATAATTCAAATACATGAAAAGAGTAAGAGTAAAAAGGAATATTAGGACAGGGACGGTAGTGCACTTATGTTTGAGGGGCTGCCACAAAGAACGGGGTCAATCTATTTACTAACCTATTTTCCAGTTTTCCAGAAGGTAGAACACAAAGCAATGCTTTTAATAAAAGAGTGAAGCAACCTAGAACTAAGGAGAAATTTCCTGACAGTGAGAACAATCAACCAGTGGATCTTGCCACCAGAAGTTGTGGGTGCTCCATCACTGGAGATTTTTAAGAAGAGACCGGACACCACTTGTCTAGAATGGTATGGTATGGGGTCTCCAGCTTGTGCAGGGATGGAGTAGAAGATCTCCAAGGTCCCTTCCAACTCTGTTATTCTGCTCTATACAAGAAAAATATCATAGTAATGGATATTTATTAGAGGAGGCAGAGGGGAAAAATTCTGAAAAGCAGTAAAGCATGTGACTTTTATCATGACTTGCTTGTATGTTAGAAAATACTTCTTAAGCAGGAGAGCAGCTTGACGGGGGAACTAACTCCCAAAAGAAATGGTGGGCATTCAAACCAGGGATGGGCAGCCCTCTACCTGGAGGGCCTTCCCAGGGATCCTTGCCCTGAGTGGGGATCGGCTCTGTGGCTCCAGTGATTCTCTCCAACTACAGCTTTCTAAATTCTGCTTCAGAACTAAAGAAAACTTCTCCTGGATGTCTGGGTATATGATTTCAGGTGACAATCAGTTGACATAGGATTGTAGCCTTCAGACAGGGACAAATTTTCTGACTGTGATGGTTACACATTGGATCACAATTCTTGTCCTGAGCTTCATGAATCAGGCTCTGAATGCAGAGTCAGGGTGGTGGTGTTTGCCCTTGAAAACAGTACTAAGACTTCTGGCATTTACATTAATCCCAAACAGTTCAGATTTTTCCTGTCCTACAGCTTCAAACCTTCATTTAGCAGCCTTTCAGAGCTGCAATAGCACTGAAAAATGTGACTTACTGTCAACCAGACCTCACACTTACGATCATCACAGCATTCCTCATAATCATGTGATCAAAATTTGGGCACTTGGCAACAGGCATGTAGTTATGGTGGTTGGAGGGTCCCAGGGTCAAGTGATCACCGTTTCTGACCTTCCCAGCCAGCTTCCAACAAGCCAAGTCAATGGGTGAAGGCAGGTTCAGTTAACAACCACATTATTTATTTAACAACTGCAGTGATTCACTTAACAACCCTGGCAAAAAAGCTTGTAAAATCAGGCATGACTCATTTAACAGCTAAGTAGGGGCAAAAAGTGATTTGGAAAGCTATTGACTCTTGAGAAATCGGATATATATTTATTTTTATGTAGGAGCACTTGAAAGTTGCCAGTGATCTCTTGGGA